CATCCCTGCTCCTAGTAGTGTCCTTTGCTCCTAGTAGTAAGGCCAGGAGCCCCTAGTAGCGTCCTATTTCATGTTTGCTAAGGATTCATGACGGCATCCGTGTGGGTTGCTTCTCTCCTGCTTAGTGTGCTGCGGGGATGGTAATCGCGATACTCGGAATGCTCGAATCACCTGCAAGGTGTAAGCAGCATCTTTTTTACACAGCATCTAATTACAGGAGTCTGTAAGTCAATATCAATAGCAACAATAACAACAAGTCGAACATCTCAAAGCGTTTCGGAAGCCAAGGGTGCAACCATGCTGGAGCTGATACTCACTCCATAAGGTGTATCTATCGATACCCCCTACAAAAGCAACGGTGCTCGCACTGTCACTGTTGGATCTTTTTTGTTTGAGAAGGATACAAGATGATACAAGAACAATACCCTTGGGACATGGAAAAAAACACATACTGAGAATGGAAACCAGCATGCAGGACCTTTCTGATGCAAATGATGTCGCTGCGATTACAACTTGCATCTTCTGCATCACCGACTCACATACAATTGCCTCCACCAAAGACTATAAACACAATTAAGATTCCAGCGTTCACTGGCAGTTGGAGCCGTCTCCCCCCCACACTCCTTACATACTCACTTTGCTCGCAGAAAGTAACTTCAGCCTCTTCCGGCTGGCTTTCACTATCATGAACGATATCTAGAAGCCTATGTGTATATGTACATGTATTATATAGAGAAATGATTCAAAATGGACGGAGCACGCAAGATTCTAGCAAGTGTGAACCTTGTACCGGCTTTTGTACCAGAATGCAAAGTCTGAGGTACTAGAGTAGCAACGCCCCATGGAAGTTGTCCCTTCAGTCTTGTTCCTTGTGATTTTCCTATACAACTTGCATTTCATCTCTCCTACTTCAAATTGACTTTCTATATCAAACCCTCTCTGCACACCTCAAGCGGCACAGCTGCACATCTCACATTCGTACATGCACAGTTGTATTCACTTGTGATACACCCATTGCAAACATACTCTCAACGACTTGTCGTCGATGGTTGCATTGTGACTGGTTTTCCCTCAGGAAGGTGTCAGACCCCCCCATCAAAGAACAACAGCAGCGGTCTAAAACCTTGCAACCAAAACCCTGCAATTCAATGCCATGTCAAGCTCTCAAAGTGAATTCAACCATGTTTGAAGCTCGCCTCCACAAGGTCTAGAATGATCAAGGACATAGACGTAGGTCTACAATGAATTTGTGACCATGGTAGACCTTTGCCCTGGAGGGTCACCAACTCCATATCCTAATAGTTGAGGGCATGCGCAAACTCGAGCTGTTTATGTAAGTGGATATTTGTTCTTTCTCATAAGGATTGCAAGAATAAATGCCGTCAACATCAACTTGCTGTTGTAGTCACTGAGAATGACATCAAGTATGCACAGAAGGGCTCATGTGAAAACTGACAAAATATTCACACCGCTTCGCGGCGAAGCCGCCCGCACGGATACTTGTGCTCTCTGAGCCGGGAAAGAACGCAGCAGGGCTCAAAGCGTCAGAAGAAGTGAGGAAAACACCGTCATGCAAACAACGAGGTGCAAAAGTGGAACGCAAGGGTACGTGCAAGGAAGAAAGATCGAGTCTGCATTAGTTCAGCAGCATTTGGGGTGCCAGTACTGGTTCCATTCGGACAGCATAACTCACATAATCAATGGTTTTCTCGCTTCTCTTTTGGGAAGGCCACAGGGCAAGCACACACGACGTCAATAATGCAGTCTCACTTGGGCAGCATAACCGACATCGCCAATGGATTACTAATGTTTCGTCGGTTTTAAAAAAGCTCAAGAACGCAGCATTCTAGAACAAAAATAGCCCCACCCCCAGCCAAGCTCAAGCTTAATGAGCTATCTAGCAATTCTAGCAGTTTATGCGATCTGAGACAACGCCTCAGCATGGATTCAGCGTAACAGCATCCCAGTTTATATATCATGGTTCAACAAACTCACGAACTACAAACAAAGCTTGAGAACTTATCGTCAATCCCCTTGAATGTCATGGCTAAACCGTGTAAAGTGGCCTGTTATTGGTCAGTAAGCCTTTTTTCTCCTGAATATTTGGTTGGAAGCTTTTTCCGCTCCCATTCCATCCGTAGTGTTCTGGTTCGATGTCTCATTGCTTTTAAATAACACTTCTGAACAAGTGGCTCCACTTTGATGCTCTCGAATCTCAACCAACTCTCTGAAAGCCCAATCCATCGTAAAGGTCTAGTATCGCAAGAATCTACAGTACAGCAAAGAAACTAGAAGCGAAACAAGAACCTTTAACAATGTGTCTATGCGTGTCTATCCATATTGATTCGCAAACTTCCCCCCTCGGCCCTATAATTCAGGCGCAAACCGCTCCAGTTTACCGGCACCGAAAGACAGGATGTGTTTACAGGCATTATTTGCGACGGTTCTCACTAGCAGCTTCCAAATTGTTGTCCAACTAGCAGACACCACGCCCTTAACCGACCGTAGGGTTTTCATGTGTGGGGCGGCATTTATTTGGTACTAAACTCAATACACTATCTATTATGTGGGGGCCCTATCTCGTTTAGACTACTTAAGTAGGAGGTCATGTCACTGTATCTTGTTCAGACTCCTTTAGTAGCAAATCACGCTATCTCGTTCAGACTACTTTAGTGTCATCGAACAAAAGTATCTCGTTTATGTGAGGGCCCTATCTTGTTCACAAGCGAATACTGATGATAGACAAGCAAATAGAGCATGCCGTAGACTACTTACAGTAAGTAAAGCTAAATAAAGATGGTTGCTCATGTGTTCTCTGCCACTTAGGGGTGAGGAGGGATGGAGTATAGGTATGTATGGGTGAGGATCAAATCCCTCACAGTGGCAACGTGGCTTATCTATAGGATCAACCTGCTTCAGACTCACAATTGACAGTGTACACTAGAGTGAACAAGTAAAGCGAAGTGAGCGAATTGCTGCTTTTTCTGTTGCACTACTATAGACTATATAAGTACCTTAAACCAAATTACTGCAACGCGAGGAAGCATTGCGTAAGAGCAAGACATGTAAGCATGTTTCAAACAACACAGAAAGGGGGCACAAATAAAAATAGAATAAGGGGTTGCGGGGCGGGGACTATTCCTTCAGACCCAACTCTCGAACTCTGGCCAAACGATAGATGTTATGACCTTAGCTACGCTTGGAAGCCATTGAGCACACAAATGGCTGCAATGATATGAAGATATTGCTAGTTTGCGAACGTACAAGAAGTGACCCGAAGAAACTGTTTGAAAAAAACACACACTTATGGATATGCGTACTGATGTGAATGCGGTGCCACACGCCGGCCTAAGAACCCAAATCCTGAAAGGTCCGGGACAATCCTAAAGGGCCTGCGGGTCTTCAAAAGGAAGTGGGGCCAAACGCGCAAGTCGACGTCGAAACGACAGGGTGGCGACGGCCGCTCACATCTGCAGATGCACTAGCACTTTACAAAAGAAAAGGAAGAAAGGTGGCCACCAGCTGCGTCTTACAATGCGCCCAGGTGCACCAAGCAGGTACGTTTTCACGACAGCTTGGATGGGTCTTCGTTGGCCCATGCCATCCAAGTGTCCATGGGCCCCCTGCTGCAAAGGAGGCGTAAAGCTAAGGTAAGGGCCAATGTGCACGTGTGCGCGCACAAGACAAAAGAATGAAGACATGACAGGAGGACGAGACGGGACAAAGGTGCGTGTGGTTGAAATGAAGGGGAACCAAGTGCACAGGGACACCCGATGAAGCCCACCTCATTGTAAAGACCTGGGCGACCTGAAACCTGTGTTTAAAGGTATGTAGAAGTGCACGTACACACTAAGGCCGGGACCAATGTGCACGCAAACGAAGAAAAGGATGAGATGACCAGACATGAAGACAGGAGGACATGAAAGAAAAGAGGAAACAAAAGTATGTGAAGGGGAAGGGATGAAAGGGGAACCAAATGGAGGGGACGAGAACAGATGAAACCAAACCTCATTAGAAGCACCTAGGGACCTGCCTCGTTTGAGTGTGAGCGCTGTGTGTGCACCTGAGGTTGGGACAGGTTCCAATGAACCTTGAACAAACTTCGGTCGCTGCGACCACGTACGGCTTGCCCGGGCTGCCACCTTTGACCGCTCCGGTCAGGTAAAGGCATGAGCCAACTTGGAATTCCAAAGATGAGACAAAATTCATCGGACATTCGGCCTAGGCCACCTATTGTCCGCTCTGGACACGTGCATCTCCAAAGCAGCGGAGATAACGACAAACCCCCGTTCAACGGGTCCACGGGAGGCACTCTGCGGGCTCATCCCGGGTTGGCACGAGGCCAAACACACTTATGGATATGCGTACTGATGTGAATGCGGTGCCGCACGCCGGCCTAAGAACCCAAATCCTGAAAGGTCCAGGACAATCCTAAAGGGCCTGGGGGTCTTCAAAAGGAAGTGGGGCCAAACGCGCAACTCGACGTCGAAACGACAGGGTGGCGACGGCCGCTCACATCTGCAGATGCACTAGCACTTTGCAAAAGAAAAGGAAGAAAGGTGGCCACCAGCTGCGTCTTACAATGCGCCCAGGTGCACCAAGCAGGTACGTTTTCACGACAGCTTGGATGGGTCTTCGTTGGCCCATGCCATCCAAGTGTCCATGGGCCCCCCTGCTGCAAAACGAAAAGACAAAAAGCAAGAACAATCCGAAAGGATCCCTGTGATTCCAAGGGTTACACACACACACACCACAAGTCGTTGTGGTCGGAGCGAACAGTATCCGCCTGTGAACGATTCAACTGAAGCAGAATCAGAAGTCGCTGGAAACATTAGAAACATTTAGCATTATGCAAAAAAAGAACAAAAAGGGCAGTAGCTGGTTTTGTCTCCAAGGATTGAGGAAGAATGCCTATGTGTCTTAATCAAGTCCAACACCGGCTGGATAGTTTTGGCATCCTTTGAGCTCGAGGCCTTCTATCTGTTTCATCAAAGTACTTGCCAAAGAAATGCACTTCGCTTTATAATACCCTCGTCCGTTTGCAAGCATCCAAACGCTGACGCACTTCCAGGCCTTTTCCAGGAAACTCTCCAAAACCTGCAACCAAAACTTGTCTGCCAGCATCCGTCCGAAGACCGTCCAGAGTGGATGTGCCTCCTCTCTTCACTGTGTTGCTATTGTCCTTCACCTTTCCCACCCTGCTCTTTAGATTATTGATCTGCATTCAATCAAGAACAGGGTGGCGGACTCAGCAAAAATATACACTGTCCACTGTCCAGCTCTGATTCACCACCAGAAAATTTTCCCGTCGCCACCAACATGTTTGTAAAGCCTCTGTTTTGGGCCTGGAAAAGAGACTTTGGCTCGATGTCTTGCAACAAATACTATGTACAATCCAATCAAAAGGAATACTTCACAGAATCATTTGACTTCAAAAGCTTGAGCTCCTTCCAGCATGTTTAGAAGCCAGTTGTCGTAGTCATAGTCATCCATGTCATCTTTTCGAGGCTGCACTAGCACGCTCACTAGCCATTCCATTCCAAGCACAACCACGCCAAGGGTTCCAACCAAGATCTTGAAGACCACTCCTGATGAAGCTTGATCTTAGACTGCTTGTGCTTGTGCCCACAAAAGCATCTCCTTTGATGATGCAGCCAATTAGACCACAACACACGTCAACCAACCAACCAACCAACCAACCAACCAGCCAGCCAGCCAGCCACCAAGCAACCAAGCAACCAAGCAACCAACCAAGCAACCAAGCAACCAAGCAAGCAACCAAGCAACCAAGCAACCAAGCAACCAAGCAAGCAACCAACCAACCAGCCAACCAACCAACCATACAAAGAGGCCTTTCTTTAGGACTGCACCATGTTGCTTTGTCTGGTCACGTCACTCCTCTCAAGTAAAAACAACCAGCCGCAGTGGCAGCTGCGGTTGCGAGCATAGTGATAGATGTTGATGCTAGCCACGGATAAAACTCACGGTCTCGCCAGCCAGCACGCCGCTTCCACATGTTCTTCGCCATGGCTGACTATATCGACAACTCCGCACTCTTTAAAATACCTTGTTTTGCCCCCCTTACTCGAATATATAAGTAGCTGGCTGCTTAAATAAGTAAGGGCTAGGTAGCTAAGTGCTACTAGTAATAGCTTATTACTACCTATGGACTCGGCATAGATCACTCTTCTATTCGTTGGGTTCCTAGATTTTTAGGGAAACTTAGCTTCAACTCCAGATGTTTGCCTTGTCTGACCTGGTCTGTTTGTCAATGACTAGTCCTAGTCAAGCCCTAGTCGTCATGAGAGTATGTGGTTTGATGATCGCACTTGAGAGGAGGAGCTACACTACATGTAAGAGGCGTGCATGTGTGGAAGAGCATTGGCAAACGCTGCAAAACACACACAAGCATGTATCAGCGGCTGGTTTATGAATACAAATAGAACAACATCAGCATTCCATCTTGGGTAAACCCCAGTTCTGCCATCAGTCATGCCTACCTCAGAAGAATCTCACTTAAAGCACATGCTTCATCGCACTTTCTTAGGCGCACCGATCCCATTCTGCAAGGAGTTGTGTTACAATGAATAGAAATGCTGCAAGTTCCTTAAGAACTGCCAGGGACGAAAGCTAGGAAAAGGAGGGGAGAGGAGAAACATGGTGGAGGGATGGAACCAAGGTGATTGGGTTCAGGTTCGCACTTGGCTTGATTTGGCTAAAGTCCTATTATCATGAAAGATATTGAAATATTGAATGGTGAAGCTAGTAACTTTGTGAGGACCCTGAAATGCGCGGCTTTGAGGTCCAGCAGCCATACCTCGAAGCAACCAACGTTTGACGTTCTCTTTGAATCCTGGTGTAAGCATCTGTCATATGGCGGATGTTGGGCAAAATGGTCAGACCACTAAGGTACCTTTGACCATCATAGGTGACCAAATCCGCGGTTCAGCTCTTTCAGCATGTTCCAGCTCATCGGGCCCCACCCCTGCTGCTCATGCAGGCAATGTATGGCAAAGGGTCTCTTTATGCACCCCCCCAACAATTAGTAAAATGTGAACCAACCGAAGCCGTCAAAGCCCCTTTTGGTTGCGCACCTTGTTTGAAGAATAAGAATATGGTGGCCATAAGTCATAAGTATGCTCGAGGCAACCTTCGCGCTACATCCACGCCATTTCAGATGCATGTGGCTTCCTCCAGGACATGCGTTCCATCGACGGACAAAGCACCGCAAAAGCCTTGAAGAGCTTGCTAAGCCTTCAGAGTTTTCTGCTTCTCCCAGCTCACGAACAGCTGTGGTGCGTCGTCTTCGTGACTTGGGCATTGATCTTACTTTACTTCCGCCAGGTGTATCAAGAAAGTACGATCTTCATGTAGGCTCGATGGTCATCCTCTTGGTTTTTGTGAGCTCTAGAGTTTGCGATGTTCAGTGAGATAAACCTATGAGGTTGTACGCCCCGCCAACTAAGTCAATAGGTCGGGTTGAGCCTGATTACAGCAGTTCTGTTTGAAGCCCCATGTCGTGGGCAGACAAAGTTTGTGCAGCTTGCATTACAGTGTTTCAAGCGAAGTGGGAGTCTAGTTATCTACCTGATTGTTTGGTTCAACAAAGGCGGCTTGGCTGCTGCAAGATTGCTACAGCACCAGAAACAAATGCCTGACTTTCAGCGCATGTGGGGATCCGGTTTACTCGTTGATCCCGTGCAAAGGCCTCTGGCGCTCGCAGCTCCTGTGAGAGTAAGACTTTGGCACCGAAGGCAGCACCTTGATGATGGCATGGCCAGCAATTCGCAGCGACTTGTGCGCAAACCAACACCTATAAAAATATGTTTAAAGAAGAAAGAAAGAAAGGCTAAAAAAAAGAATAGATAGATGGACAGATAGATGATGGATGGATGGATGGATGGATGGATGGCTGGATGGATGGATGGATGGATCGATTGATCGATCGATCGATCGATCGATCGATGGTAGGTAGATAGCTAGCTAGCTAGCTAGATAGACAGACAGGCAGACAGACAGATAGGTAGATAGATAGATAGAGAGACAGGTAGATAGCTAGATGGATGGATGGATGGATGGATAGATAGATAAACAGATAGATTAGTAGGTAGATAGATAGATAGGTAGGTAGGCAGATAGATAGATAGATTGATTGATAGATAGAAAGATAGATAAAGAGATAGATAGAGAGATGGACAGACGGACGGACGGACGGACAGACAGACAGACAGACAGACAGACAGATAGATAGATAGTTAGTTAGAAAGATAGAACGATAGACAGGATAGGTGGATAAATAGGTAGATAGGTAGATGGTTCGATGGCTCAAAAGCTCGATAGCTAGATATAGATAGATAGGTAGAGAGGTTGAAAGAGAGATGGATGGATAGATGGATCGATGGACAGATAGATAGATACTCTGCTGAAGTGTGACAGCAAGGCGGCTCCTCTTGGCATTGCGCAGTTGCATCGTCATCTTCTGCAATGCCCATGTAGTTGAGCTTGCGGAGCATGTCGAAAAGCATTGTTTTTGTCAATCCGAGCCAATAATTTGCATTTTTTCAGGGATGGGGCGGCCCCGGTTTCAGAGCCTGTTGGCAGAGAAGTTCCGGAACCTCTTCCAAGGTCCAAGGACAATCCTTCTTTCGTCTATTGACTTCCAGCTTGCCCGACCATGACTCTATTGGAAGTGGCCACTTTTTGCTGGCATGCCGTGGGTGGTGTCCAGCTTGGAGACCTTCCCAATCGCGGGAGCTCGGCTTGGCTGACTGCGCGTTCGTCGTCGAGCAGTGGTTTCCTGAACCATCAAAAAGTTGAATCCCTGCCTTGTCTTGGTCTTGGGCTGGACCATGGTCCGCGGAAGGCTTGCAAAGCCGGCCTGATTGGCTACTGTCCCATTGGTCTCGGCGCGCTGCGGCGTGGCATCGTCTCCTGCAGTTGGTAGGTCCATTGCTTCCGGCGCGCGCATGTAGGTCAGGCAAGACCATTACAGGGCACAGGGTGGAGAGCAACTGGAAGTGAGGAGAGGCGTCGGCCGGCAATAGATGACTGTTGCAACCACAGGCGCAGGAATCACATATTGAGTCTGTGTCAGGTATTGTTTGGACCACGCGTCGACAAAATGGAGTCCATAGTTGCGCCGGAAATCACCGTCGACGCTCCATCATCTGATCAGAGCAACAGCTGAGCGGATGAGGCCAGCCAGATGCGCCAGCAAGCTTGCGTGTAGTTTTGAGCGGAGAAGGGCCTCAATGAAGACGCGCGGCAAGACCGCGGACTTGTTGAACGGCATCTATAGTGGTGGTAATAGGTCAAGCAGGAGCCGGGTGGAAGATGCACTGTCCCTGCCAGCAATGGTTCAGCATGGTGGCCAACTCCGTACAAAGAAGCCACAGGCTCTCAGATTGCACGCTGAGCTGTGCTTTTTCGGCGCAGTCTTTGAGCAGCTCGATCCATCGCTGAGGGCCTATGCCTGTGCGCTGGTGTGCGCGTGCGCGCGTTGAGATGAAATGGAGTTCATCCAGGTAGCTGCACGGCAGCAGGTGACATTGGTGTCCGGCGCCAAGGGTCAGCTGGTACTCCAACAGGTCAACTGACCTTGCATCTTCAACGCTGTCATAGCACACTTGCTGATCGAGCTGTCCAAGCTGGACGAGATTTCACGCACCACTGGAACCACGATCCACGCGCGTTCTTGGGCATCTATGTCCTGCTGCTGTGAACATCAAACTGTATGCTCCACATCAGGAACGCTCGAAGAGTCGAAGAGGCTCATCCAGTGGCAAATCTTCCCAGGTCTCAGCCAGTTGCAGCTGAGCTCGCATCATGAATGTCCTTGGTCGGATCAAGCAAAAGGCACGCACGACTTTCAATACAGTCCGGCGCGCCAGTCATAAAATGCATGAGCACCGTGCGCACACGCGGGCAAGCCATCGAGCGCATTCTTGCTTGGTCAAAGCTTATTTCCATGAATCTGCCAGGAGAGTGCGGCTGGAGAAAGTGTGGACAAGCCGGTCAGGGGTCGACATGGTCAGGGCATGGTTCCATTGTTACGGACTGGCCCTACCATACATGGGTCTGGCTCGAACAACATCACCTGCAGAGCGACAGCCCAGTCTGGAGTGTAGTCCAGGCGGGTCATGACCAGGTCAACCGCCGTTGGCAGGCGGCAATGGCAAAAAAAGTCTTGGTGGCTGCTGATAGGGATGATCTTTATAAAACAAACGAAGCGTGCGTGTGATATGAGATCAGATTTGCTGACTTCGTTTGGCGGTGATTCCAATGTCCACGATGCTATACATGAGAATGCTCAAAACACACGATTGCCACACTGTAAATTTATGGTGCATGGTGAGGCATCTAGGACCTCTGAGCCACTTCCTAAGTCGATTGAACGCATTCACGCTGCTTTTGACACACGCTTTGACAGCAGCATCTTGATAGTCATAGTAGTTAATGACTGCTCCTAGATAAACAGCTTGTTTGACCAGGCGCACGGACGAGTAGCTGCCACCATCTGGGTCTTCAAACCTTTGTATCAGCTATGATGTCCAGGAGGCGGCCAAGTTTGGTCAAGCAACTGTTGAAAGCCCGTTAGAATGTCAAAAGTTTTACACACATGAAAACCATCCGGATACTGGTTCAATCTGGCCGAAACCCAGGCGCCAAAACATGCCACACATCTGTTCAAGAGTTGCCACATGGCAATACTCCACAGAGCTGCCCTGTCGGATACTGTACCTATATGGTCTATATGAGTGGAAACATGGTCTTAAAAAACAGGCGATTGTACATAGTGAGTGTCAGCGTGCCACTTTTTGAGGACAGAAGCAAGCGCGGGAGGAGTATCAATGTCATCAAGGCTGCAAAAAAAATCACGAGGAATTGAATCAAAAGCACGGCGGATGTCAATGAAAAGTTGCAAACCCCCACACACTGCGGTGAAAGAACCACCGGCTGCAATTACACGCGGAGTGCGTCGAGCGTGAGCTTTCAGAGTGGTTCGGGCCACGTCAAACTGAGCTGAAGCCCTTGGACAAAGCATCGCCGGCGCCCCTGCTTTGCCCGTGGGAGTTTGCACAGCTTGGAAATTGGAAAAGGCATGAGCTCTCAGGGCGCGTGCCAAGAAGGCCATCACACATTTTCCCAATGGATCCTGCAATGTCTCAAATGCTGGGGCTGGGGGTTTGGGCAACCAAGCCCAAGCCAGCCAACTATCCTTCCAGGAAGCATGAAGGTAGGGCGGGCGATGCCCCCACCATTTTTGGAGCTGGCGAAACAAGCGCGGTGCAACGCAATCGACAAAAGGACTGAGTGCCTCTCCACGTGCATAAGGGGCAGCAACAGCTGTGGATCATTGATATATAATCTCTCGTTCACTCTGTTCAAGCTCAAAGGACATCTGACACAAGGAGGGTGGCCATGTTCCTCTGGGTGCGGTTCCAAAGCCGGGGTTAAGTTCAACCCCGCTTTTCATCACCAAACTGCCCGGCATCGTCTCTGCGAGTGTGCCCAAACCAGGAAATTCGCCACACTGCCCACTGAGCATAGCGGGCGTGTGGGTTGAGCACTGATGGATGGATGGATGGATGGATGGATGGATGGATGGATGGATGGAT